ACAGAAATCGTAGATTTTGTCCGTTATTTGCGGTTTGCCAGGTTAGACACGTGAATCTCGATGTTTACCTGGCCGAGTTTGACTGTGCAAATTACTCTTTTTCCTTCTAAAAACCGACTTCTACAAAATGAGTTGTTTTCTAGGATTCATTCTCCTTTCACTCTAGGAATATATAGGAATTGCATAGGGAGACGCAGCAAAAGTAGATCTGATGGAGGATGAAGATGTAGAAGACACTGGAGGGCGACGATATATGGCAGCACCGGAGGATGATAGACCAGTTTTTTTCCATTGATCTGAATGGAGCCAAATGAATCTGATATGATTTGAACTGATCTGAATTTGATAAGAATATGTAATAAGTAGAAGAAATAAGCTGAAAAAAACGACACCTAACCCTTGAAACTTGAAACTCGTCCGTGAAAGTTATTGTTTTTTATTTTAGATTTCACTAGGAAGACGATTAATTGAGAGATGAGCGATGGTTGAATTGTTAATATTTGATATGTGAAGACTATATATGGAAGACTACCTATAACTGGAAAATTTTTATAAAATTTACTCTTTTTAATATGTAATTTGTATTTCTTATGTATGTACCAAATTATAAATAAAACGATTTAGTGTAACACATGAGGCAGGCACAAATAATTCACCTTTCCGCATGTGTGTGAATCTTGAATCACCGTTAGAAGGCAAACTGCCACTCAACGGATCTTTCTAAAAGTATTTATTTTTCACCAACAAATTAAAGGTGAAATTATTTTAGGTAAGTTCACTTTTTAAATAAATACAAAATATGAGTGTTTATTTAATTTTTTTTAAAATTATACCAAATTTAAGTATTTTTTCCTAGAGTGACACCAATTACTGTTTTGATAATCGATAACCTAGTAATAATTATTTTTCCAAAATAATACAAAAGTTATGAAGTTACAAGATAAATTCTTCTACAAAATAGAAGTAATTCATTTACTCCATAACTCACTATAATTTTATTTATAAATTACAATAACTTTTTTGAGCGGCACTTCAAGTTATTTTTTTATACTCCCTCCGTCCCCCGTAGATCTTCCCATTAGCCCTTTTTCTTTGTCCCACATAGATCTTCTCATTTCATTTTCTAACAATTAAAATACCACAACTACCCCCACTTACTTTATTTGTTACACCTTTTCCACTTTATTTAATACACCCCACCCATTTTCATTAAGGGTATTTTGGTAAACTTTCACTTTTTTTCAACTTTCCTTAAAAACCACAAAAAGTCAAAACGAGAAGATCTTAGGAGGACGGATGGAGTAATATTTAGTACAAATGATTTTTTGCAGAACGACGACGAAAACAAGATTACGACCAAAAATTGTTTGCACTTTTTTCTTCCATGGCTATTGGGGACCGTTCATTGCTGTCCGGTTTTATGTTACGGGTCCGTTTGGTACACGGAATTAATGGAATTGGAATTAAATTGGAATTAAAATTCCATAGAATTCAATTCCATAGAATTGAATTCACCAATTCCAATTCATTTTTAGCACTACCAATTCCAAATATACATATTGTATGTGCTACCAAATACAAGAATCGGAATTGAAATCCTGAATTCTAATTCCATAGTTTGAATTCTGTGTACCAAATGGTCAAACAAGTAGGAAAATTTGACCACCCAAAGCGAAAGGGGTACAAATTAGGAATAATGTGGTCAATTTTCTCTTTGAAAGAAAAGATTTTGTACTCAGTACTCCCATATCCATGTGCATACTTGCAGTTATAGTTTGTGCTGAAAATGTGTGGTTAGACGAGAGATGTTATTACCCATATTGCCATATATTCCCCTTTTTTTTTATAGAGAAGGGCAAAATTGTTACTGGTATAAAGAATCCTATGGTGAGTGATCAAACAAGAATAATTTTGGGATGTTTAGTTATTTGATGTCAATAATCTCAAGTTATCACCTAGTAAACACGAGTAGTATTTGAGTAATGTTGGAGTCACAAACAAAACACTCACAAAGTATACAAACTTACTATTTGTGAATTTAATATTTGAGACCATAATTTGAAACTATTACATATTGGGTAAGTTTGTACATTTTGTGATATTTGATTTGTGACTCTAGCATTACCCATAGTATTTCACATTTGTCATCAAAGAAATTTCAGAGTAGAATTCACTACCACTATGTTTGGTTCAAGGAATTAGGAAGGAAAACAAAGAAAATGATTTTCTCTTATTTTTCTCACAAAAAATGGGAGGAATTTGGTTATCTCTCCCATTAGTACATTTTGCCTTCTCATTTTGTTTTCCATCCACTTTTCTTTTCTTTTCCTCTCTAACCAAACTAGAAAAACTTTTTCCCATCTCATTTTCTTTTCATTTCCCTTTTAAATTCTTTGAACCAAACATAGGGTACATGTTTTTATCCATACAAAGAAGTGATGCAATTCACAGTAATTGACTCTAGTAGTCTATTTCTTCTTTCAACCTCTTTTACACATTAAACATCTTGTCTATACTCTCCGCCCCCGGTGAACTGGACAAAATCGCTCAGTGAAGTCATCGGGGTGTCTGTGGTTTTAAAGATGGACAACCAGAGAGAAGCACGGTGAGGCCTTAAAGTTGTATAGAACCAATCAAGAGTTTAGCCAACTCCTCTTCAAGAATGGCCGCGCCTGCACACCCTTGGTGTGCATAAGTGCCAATCAAAGCACTTCGTCTTCTCTGCATCGTTCCCATTTTATCGGTTGTCCCAAAATGGAGAAGTATTTCATAAAATGCTCTCTCACTATCATGTAAGAGCGTCCCTTTTAATTCCCCTTTAAAGAAAATACTCCGTAGTTCATATATACTCCACCCACTTTTATTGAAGATAAAATGAAAAATTACATTATTTTTTTCAACTCTTCTTTGAAATGTGAAAAATCAATTTGAGAAAATCATTTTCCAGACGAAGGGAGTATTAAAATAGAAACTACCTTACTTAGTTACTTAGCTGTTGTAACGGCATGCAACCATGTGTCGGATTGTTATCCGTCCATTTGTCGCCAAGTTAGCATCTATCTCTTGCCACATAAACCTCTCTCTCATATTTGTCAAAAAAACATGCCATCCTCCTTGATGGATCTGCAAGGAATTGATTGATCTCAAAATCTCCACTATTACCAAAGTAACAAAATACCACTACCTTAATTAAACTGCCTAAGATTTACACAGCAAGCCAAATCTCCACAGAATCAGAAATTGCAGCAAACAGCTTCATCAAAGATTGCCCTAAATGCAGGTACATCTAGCTACAAAGCCACTTCTCCTTGGTGCCCATTAACCATAGGACCTATCTCAGATTCACTCAGGCTTTAAAACTGCATACTTATTCTAGAAAAGTGATAGTGTAAATGGAGGTTAGTTGGGTTTGTTAGGGTTATTAATTGGGGTAGCTTTGATAAATAACCACTCTATTGCTAAAAAGGTATCAATTAAGAAATGAATAACAACTTCAACTCTCTATCTCTCTCGCATGGTTGTTAAGTCGACAAGTCGAGTCGAGTCGGTGACAGGGAGACTAGTGGACTAGGCGACAAATCATAATTAGTATTAAAATTTTTAACATTTTATATATCTATACTAACCCAACATGAATATATATATATATATATATATATATATATATATATATTTTCCATCATCTCCGATGGAGCCAAAATTTCACCATTTTTTTGGCTTTGGGGTGTGATGGAATAAATCAAAATGGATCTCTAAACTATATGCGCTTCTTTAATTAATGAAGTAGCAGTTAGTTAAGCAATGCAACTTTCGACGTTGAGCCGGGGGTCTCTTTGGAAACAGCCTCTCTACTTTCGAGTAGGGGCAAGGTCTGCGTACACACACCCTCCCCAGACCCTACTCTTGTGGGATTTAACTGGGTTGTTGTTGTTGTATGTATATATATATATATATATATATATATATATATATATATGAATTCAAGTTTCTCACATTTTACGGGAAGGGAACTCTGCTGCACATGGTCTCGCAAAGGTGGACATGACTTTAGATTCCCCTCTCAAGGAATACTGGCATATCAACCTTTGCCCTGATGTTGTTAAAAATATTTTGTACCATGATTGTATCCCCTCATTCCGTTTTCATTAATAAAACCTGATTTCTTTGCCATATATATATATATATATATATATATATATGTCAAAACACCATAACCAAAGCAAACTTATGTTTAAAGATAGCACATAAAGTCACTTAACAAAGAGTACATAACAAACAAATATCCTTCAATCTTTAAAAATAATACACCAAGAAAGATAATTAACCAAATAAGAAGTCAAAGGACATATTAAAATAGTTAATTCCATGTTTTGAGTTATCAAAAAACTGAAATAAAAAAAATTGAAATATTAAACTGAAAAAAAACTGAAATACTAAAATACTAGAATAAGAAAAAAATTAAAATATTAACTGAAATCAGAAAAAAAACTGAAATATTAAAAAAAATAGAAGTAAACTGAAATTTTGAAGTATATTATACTTTATAGTTTAATGAACCAAATCAATGAAAATTAAATGAAATAGAGTACACTTTAATGATAACAAAGTAAAAGAAATCTTAATGAGAGTCGCTGCTGGAGGCTGATGGAGGAGAATCGATGGAGGAGAGTCGCTGGCTGGAAGTCGCGGAAGTCACCCTGGAACGGGAAGCCTAGAGTCGCAAACCTCCAGACTGCCGATTGGGTCGGGTCAATTGAATTAGGTCAAAATCGGCCAATTTTTTTCACCGATTAGGCGTCTCCTAATTGTGGCTAAGCGTTGCTAAGCGCGCTTAATCGCCTAGTCGGCCATAGGCGCTAGTCGTACAGCAAATCTCCATGGCAAAACCGCCCGGACGACTAGTCGGCAACTAGTCGTGGCCTAGGCGACGACTTAACAACCATGCTCTCTCGTCTATCTCCCTCTATCTCTTTCTCAAGCAGCAACATCCAAAGCTTTTATCAATCAGGATCCTTTTCTTAAGTTGACTAAGACACACTTGAATAGTCCGAATACTTACGAGATACACACCAGTAGGGTGACAGATTTGGATGATAATGGTGTCTTTCCTGTTGATAATTTGTTGCAAAAGGATTCAGTAGATGTGACATTGGAGCTTCATGCAACAACTAGAACAATACTGATTTCAATTGACCATTCGCACTCATTGGCGCACCTCTCAAATGAGCCTTCTGCTAATGTTGAAGACTCTAAATCAGTGGCTATGGGTGGCAAACAAGGTATTGTGGAGGCAAATACTCTTGCTGACTCTAATTGCAATTGCCAGTTTCTACCCAAAAGAAAACCAAGGTTTATACCTGCTGCCATGATAACTGAGAAAAGAGAAAATGGATGGGGTGATTACTGTTGAAGCCTATTGAAAGGACATGAGTGTGAGAGCAAGGGAACTTGGTCCTTTCTGGTGGGGATACTAGGAGAAAAAGAAGATGATAAGTTTGAGATGCCTGATTGCAACCCAATGGCTGACAGTGCTCTATCAATATTACTCCGTGATATTTCAAAAGGCAATGGAAACCATACAAAAAGGGTTACTGGCCAGGTGTGGAACAAAGAAATGCAACTGTTAATAAAATCAAGAGGCACGAATAACTGTATAGATTCTAGTCTTGCTAAAAGAGTGGGATATTACTTTGAACCCATTACTGTTTGTAAGGAGGCAGTGGTTGAGGAGTACACTTTGCAAGGGATCGAAGGTTGTAGGAAATTCAAATGTTTCAAATGGGAATCACAAGGCACACATTTCAATTCTGGCAGAACACTTAACCTAGAAGGAACTGATCAGAAACTTTGGGTACTAAAGAAAAAAGTCTTACATTGGTCCTATGGAACAGCTACTACAACCTCTAATTGTACTAGTCAGGATAGAGTGGCTGATTCCTTGGACAGGACAACCATTGCACGAGGCTACATGCAATAATTCAGCCAGGGCACAATGGATAGAGATGATCATCTCCACCAGAGAAGGTAATCTTGCCAACCAAGTTTCATGGCCTGGGGCCTTAGCTATGGGATGTTACCTGGAATCAACCAGTGCACTAAGAGTTGCAGTGACTCATGGTTATAGTCTACAATGTACTCAAATCTGTAACAAATTCAGATGGATGCTGCAAAGCACACAATTCACTTTTGATAAATTTCCTATGACAGTTGGAGGATATGGCTGTGTACTTTGGTATCCAATGGTTATGCACATTAGGCACCGTCAGATGGAAATTCAAGCAAGTACATATGGCAAGTGGGGGGTAGTATGATATAGGTGATTAGTTGGAAAGGTGGTTAGGAGTTTGTTGTACTGTTATATTTGTTAGGTGTTCGCTGCTGCTGACAAATATAAATACCCCCATCTCTGTACTTTTTGTAATCAATGAATGAATAATCAAATTCCCTTTCAATATCTTCGTCTCTCTCATCCGTCTCCCTCTATCTTTCTCTAGTTTGGTTCAGATTACAGATTTCTTTGAAGCTCTCTCTCTCCATTCCTGAGTAGCTTCCTAAAACTGTAGCAAAAAGATTCTTATTCAAGGACTTATCTACTTCACGAGTCTATATATAAAGACTAACAGGAATCCCCTTTTTTGTATATCCTGCATTGTAGAAAACATTACTCCGCTTGGTGTTTCAATCGGAGGAGAACAGATGTGAAAAGACATACCCTAATAAGATTAAGGTTTTTAATAGTAATAGGGAAACAGAAATACTCCTATTGACTTCAAAAGCGCATACAAAATGAAAAGCATATTACCTCTTCCAAAAAGAAAACATGTTTGCTTGTATTATGGTTGTTAATTCCATATTTTTATGTACAGGGGCGGAGGAAGGGGGGGCTGTCCGGGCACGTGCCCCCCCGGCGAGGTATCCTTTCGGCGAAGAGGTGCCCCACCGGTGATGCTGCTGCAGCAGTTCCTTTCTTCTCGTTATTCTTTGATTGGATTTAAAATTCTTTAAAAAGAAAAACTTAGTGCAACGTCGTCGTCGTTTTGAGGATGAGTTTTTTAATTAGTTCTTGCTCCAATTAAATTAAGGATATTTCTCAAAAAAAAAAAATCAATTAAGGAGTTTATTTGGAATTTCGGATCTCAAATCGCATACAGCCTGACCTCTTCCCCTTGACGCACGAACCCGGCGGCTCTACCCCTGCAGTAGCGCCGTTTCCGGACGCCGCTACGTCGGACCCAGCTACTCCACCCAGGCACCGCTGCATCTTCCGTCCACCAATCTCAGGTTAAGAACAATTCAATTCATTTAATCCTTTAATTAGTAAATACGGAGTGCTCCACTGCTCCTCAATTGTTGAATACGGAGTAACTTGTTTTGTTGAATGGTGAACTCTCATTATTTTAATGCTTAAAAGAAGATTTACTTTGCTCTGCGTTCACTCGAGCTCACTAAATGGTAATTGTCATTTAACAGTCTCAAAGGATTTCTTTTAATTTTTTTATTCTCTTTTACAAATTTGGACTATAAATTTCAAAAAGAATCATTTTACTTATAATGTAAATTTAATATAATTAGATTTAAGATGCAATTTTAATATATTCTATTTCAAATTTTTATAATATTTATTCCATACTTAGTATCTATAAAAATTACTCGTATATATATTGATGATCAAAATGTGGACCCAAATTATTTTATTTGGAATTATTGTAATGGTCAAATTTTATCCTCCGTGTACACTATTAGATAAAAAGTTTGTCATCCTAGAAGCGAAAAATATTTGCACATCCTTTTATCATTTTATGTTGTCTTCGGAAATTTTTTTGGTGTTCCCTTCGAACCCTGTAATAAAATGTATTTGGTGCCCCTCCAACAATCGTATCCTGGCTCCGCCACTGTCTATGTATGCCTTATTAGTTAAGGGTGATGGGTAACTTCCCAAGGAGCTGTGCAGAAACATCCTAGCTATGTTAGGAGTACAGAATTACACCAATTCTATTAGGTATTTGAGTCAACCAGAGTCCACTTTTGATCAAATCTGCTACACATCAATCCCACCATAAAAGAGTCAGTCTCTAGTCTCTACAAGTTTCTAATTGGGGTGAACACCTGTCCAAAACCAGACCGGACCGGAACTGGAAAACTGGAATCAGGTAAAGGATAGGACTGGAACCCGGACTAATTTTTTCCGGTCCGATTTAGAACAAAAAAACCAGTATCTTTTTATTTATTTTTTTTTTTGGATTATTTCAACTCATTTTTTGACGACCAAACTTGATTCAACCTTATTTTTATTTTTTTCTATTCGTCGATTGTGTTCCAAGAAATAATATCAACATACAAATATTTCATCAATAATATGATACGTTTAAAACAAAATTTATACTTTTGTTGGTTTGTTTTCGTTTTTGAAATCCTTTCGTTAGTTTGTTAAGTTTCTATTATATTGATAAAATTGCACTTTAATATATTTCTAATTTCTATCTTACCAGGAATAAGCTGCATATAGAGGTATCTAAAAATCTAAGCTAAAAAATTATACTTAAAGTTGTTTATATAAATTAAAATTTATTTATAATCAATATAACTAGTATTAAAGAAAAAAAGAAGAAAAGAATAAACATATTTTGGTCTTACACCCAGAAACCATCTGGTCTTGGACCGGAATGGCCAGAATTATATCGGTCCTCAATTCTAAGACCAAATACTGGTCTGGATTTTAGCAAGTCTAGCCCGGAAAGCGCATTTTCCTGGGCCTACCCGGATTTTGTACATCCCTACCTAAGAAGCTAGAAAACACGACACAAATCTTTGAACCTATTACTAATCATTTATAATAATTACACAAATACACTAGCTTTACACAAAATATTGAAAATAAAGAATAAGGATCTAAAGAAAAGATTATATGAAAATATAACTCCTTTACAACAAAAAAAATCCTTCCCAGTTTGAGTTTTTTGGTTAAACTTTAAACAGTGGTCACAAATTATGCAAAACATAGATTGAATTATCATCTAAATTTAATGACAATAGATTAACTTTGAAATATTTTTTTATTATAATATATATCTATATATAAATAAAGATATTAATAGTCAAAGTGTTGCATTGGAGACCACGAAAAATAAAATGGGAAGAAAACTAATGGACAAATGGAGTATAAGATAACAAATCATGTATATAAAACAATCAAACCTGTTTTTCAATAAGATCAAGCATCTCTTCTGCACAAAGAGAGACCCAAATGTCTTATCATAGCCAACCTGAAAGAAGGCCATCATGTCCATTACAACATCCCAAGCTTGAAGGTGCTTCAAGATTGCCAAAAAAGGAAAGCAGATTATGAGGATACCTAACGCTCAATAAAGTCTTACAACCAATTGAGTTCACCTCAATAATGCGGCATTGACATTTTTCAGGCAGCTGGAAGACTGCTTTGAAAGCAACCAGGGGGTGGGTCCTTTGTTAACCCCTACTGCAATAACACTTATTGAGATCGTTTGAATTCAGTTCATCCCTAACATTTAAATCTAGCATAGGAAAGATAATGGGATTTAAATGTTTCACATTAAGAACCCGCTCCAATTTCTTCTGAACCCTAAATATGGTGTCAATCTTCGTGCAAGCTTTATATGTGTTTAGTTGTAACGTGACCAATGTTTTACCTTCGAGGATCCTATAGTTTGCAAACTCAACAAATTGGTACAAAGTTTCAAATATTTTGACAAGGTCTTGTTATGAAGAGGATGGTAATCCTCCTCATGAATGAGATCAACGTGGTTTTTAAACCTCGATAATAGCAACTCCTAAGACAAAGATTTCTAAGACAAAGAATTAATAAGAAAACATAGATACTTCTATTCTCATAAGGACCCTTGACCCAGAGCTACTATAACACTATTACCGAGGTTTAGAAATCAGGTCATTCATTCATGAAGATTACCCTTCTCTTCATGGTACTATGACAATTACATTTTCGGCCAAACAGGACCTTGTCAAAATATTTAAAAGTTTGCAAGCGTTGTACCTATATGCTGAATTTGCAAACTATAGGATCCTCAAAGATAGAGGATTGGTCACACTACAGCTCAACATGTATAAAGCTTGCACGAAGATTGACCTCATGTCTAGTGTTTTGAAGGAATTAGAGCAAGCTTTTAAAGTGAAACCTTCAAATCCCGTTTTCTTTCCCGTGCATGCTTCACATGTTAGGGATGTAGTGAAATCAAAAGATCTCACTGTTACTGTAGTAAAGGTAAATAAAAAACCTACCCCCACAAACACAAGCTGCAAATTTGAGTTGCTTTCAAGGCAAACCGTCTTCCTGCTTGAAAAATGGCAATGCCACGTTATGAGGTGAACTCAGTTGGCTATGAGACTATATTGAGGGTTTATCATTTTCACAAGCCTATAATTTTTGAAAAGTCAATAAATCAACTTGTCTAACCCAGAATATTTGAGAGAAAAAACAAAGTCCCATAAAACACGGCTGCAATGACTTAGCATGTGAAGTTTAGCTAACAGATTAATGAATTTTAAAAGATTATATTTTGCGATCTTACTCATGAAAATCATTTGCCAAAGCCAAATTCCCTGTTCATCTTCATCATCTCACTCAGTTATAGGAAAAAAGACACTAACTGATATCTGGGCAAAAACTAGGACAAACAAGTTCGTTCTAAAACTAACCGACCTAAACTATATCACCACACGGTATATTTTATCATTGCAAAGGGCAAACAATAAACCCTTCTATCATGTTTCCAACACATATACAAGAACTAGTCAATTTTTTACTTTTGCCCAATCCACCTGATCAAATAAAACATTATCTTCAAATCTTCATACAAGTTTGCCCATAACATAACAATTCACATTCAGTTCTATTAAATCTGTCAGAGAAAAACACAGCACAATGCCTTTAAATTTTCTATCCCTATAAATTAACGAGATCTGATTTGTACAATGAAGCATACTCAGTTCTAAGTTCTAGACCAGACAAGCCCAATATATCGTCCACTCTGCCTATAATGATAAGTTAACAATACTTAAGGGCATTGTTGATAACCCTTGGTGAGGAAACGCAAAATTATTCTGTCAGACAAAAAATGAAAACGGCACGATGCAAATGTGCACTAAAACTAATGCTGAAACAGATTTAGTTGCACTGAAATCAGTGATAATGAGTAAACTATATTTAGACATTATCAGTGAATTAATGAGGCCAGAGTTCATAAACTCATAACTTGGCATGTTGCGCTGCAAATTACACATCATGAAACCAAACAAACCTACCAAAAAGGATTCTAGAAAAGAACCAACTGGCAAATGATAAAACTCCTGAACGAATGTAACAAAAGCCCCTTGAATCCAATCTTTATGTTCTACACAAACTATCGCCAAAGAAAAATGAAGAGGAAGAGTATCACAAATATTAGAAACAAAATGTCTAGATTTAAGACAAGGTCCACACCACAACACAACCTTCCTTAAAGAACTATTCGACAAGCCTCAAACAATATAACCCTAATCTGGCATTGTGTCTGATACGCATAAGAGACAAATTAACAATGGTTTGCATTGCAAAGACCAAACCAATGTAAAACAAGTGTAACAATTGGTGGGACCAAAAATTTATAATACAAAAATGATGTCAATCTTGCGCTTGTGGTGGAAGTGTATTGTCCTATAAATTTTTAAGAATATCCTCCTACAAAAAATATGTCTGATGAACCATGTTTCACCTAGAGTCAAATTCCACAAGATAGACAATAGAAAAGAAAAAATAGTAGTGTTTGTTTAATCACATATGTAATTACAAAAATATACAGAATACAAATTAGAGTGTCCGAAAGATACAACATGCAAGAAACTTACCCATGGCTGTTGGGATCCCGTCCCACATCGGGTAAGTAAAATGAATACCTCTCCCGTATAAAGAAAGGTGAAGCACTAACAAATGGATTAAGTTTTTGGTTAGAAAGTGGATCCAAAAAGTGGATCCATACTTTATATGGGAAAGTGGCCAAATCTCACGCGACAAGCCGACACTCCGTCCAGTTCATTCGGCCCACTGCAATTCCAACATGGCATCAGAGCCATGTTCAGTTCGATTCATCTTGGTATTCACCGGGTTAGCTATAAAGAGATTGAGATGCTACTTATTCATTCATCCTAGTAACTAGTCCAGGCAAGTTAACACTTGAGGGGGTGTTGGGATTCCATCCTACTCTAGATAATTAAAATGAATACCTAACTTATGGCCATGATGAATTCCTCGTCATACGTTATATTCTTCTCTGTATTGATACATACTATGCTGCTATCTATATTGATATGGTAGAGAAGAAAATCTTACAAAATTTTACATTCTATACAAATATTAAAATTAATAAATATGACAAATAAATACAACCATTTCTATATTTTTATTTAACTCACATCAATGTTAATGTCGTAACCAAATTAAACATATCTAATCTATGATGATGATATATGGGAAATTTCTCAGATACTGAACTGCATCTTCAATTGTATAGTTACTAAATCCCAACTAATTACTATATATAATAAATTAGTTGAAAAATATAATGACAAAATCAAATATAAAGTAGAAAAACTAACAAGTCATCTCAAATTATGATAATCGATTTTTCAACAAAACAAGTCTCGTTGAATGCAAATAGGAAAGAAATCAAAATCACACTAATTTTCATATAGTCATCATGCACTATATATATTTAAAAAATTTGATGCGTCAATACAAAAACTAAAATTGTTAAAGTGTCATAATTCACATATTTCCTTAATAACAATATCAATTAAGCACCCATCTACTGCCAAGCAGAGAACAGTCCTATGATTTTCATCTATCACGATTTTAAATACCACAATGGTGGTAGCACTTGTAGTTCTCTTGAAAAATATAAAAAAAGAGAGAGAATAAGCCTTGATCAAAACAAAAATAATTTAACTGCACTAGTTCAATTGAAACGATGTTGGTGCAACAAACTAAAACAAAGCATAGAATCACCAATCCATAAAAAAAGGTTGCATTGGCAATATTTTTTATCCTTACTTGAAACATCATCGTGCACAAAGTAAGAATTTCACAAGTGTTTTACAAATAATTTGAATGACTATTAGGCAAGGTACAATAACTCTATTCTACAAATTGGGTGAAAGTATTGCTAGAGCTTGATAGAATTTTGATGCTAATTATGTGGTGCCATATAAGTTACCGTATAACAATAAGATTTTAGGAATTTTATATGCTGATTTGCTTGTCTATCGTGGAGCAAAAATTTGCACAACTTACTTGATGCCTATTTTGGTTATAGGCTTCTGTAATACATATGCATATGCGTATGCGTATGCGTATGCGTATGCGTATGCTTCAACATATACATATACATATACATATACATATACATACACATATACATACACATACACATACACATACACATACACATACACATACACATACACATACACATACACATACACATACACATACACATACACATACACATACACATACACATACACATACACATACA